ATCCCCTCACCTCCGGCCACAGCCATTGGGCGGGGCTGCCGGCCAGCGGCCAATGGGAACGGAGGAGGGGCGGACCAAGAGACGCGATTGGCCGAGGCGGAGGAAAGGGGTGGGATTGAGGAGGGATGAAGAAGGAATGCGTGGGTCGCGGCGGGGGCGGGGCTTAGCAGGAGCCAACCAATGGGACGAGAGTATTGAGATGGGAGCGGCTTTAGGGCGGGAAAAGAGGCGGGGCTTGACCCACGTGGGCGGGGCCTTCACGGGTTTTTGGGGGGGAAAATGGGGATTTTGGGGGAAAATGGGGATTTTGGTGACCTGAGAAGGGGACTGGGGCTACTGGGGAGCCATGAGTGAGGGGAGCCGTGAGGAAGATGGGGGCGTCATAGCTCTATGGGGGGGTGGGTTGAGGAGGGGGTACTATGGGGCGGGGGTGCACATGGGATTATTTGGGGCCATGGGAAAGAGTGGAGCTATTAGGGGGTTCTGGGGCAGGGGCCGAGCTGTGAGGAAGAGGAGGAACCATGGGGCTACTAGAGGGGCTGTAGCATGGAGGAGAGCAGTGCAGCAGGGGGAAAGCTGTGGGGCTGTTGGGAGGCCATGGGGCTATAGGAAAATGTGGGGCTGCGGGCCAGGAGGTGCCATGGGCCAGCAGGCGCCATGGGCCAGGCTCCGTCAGCGGCGCAGAAGAAGTCACACGTTCCCAGACCCGAGTGGGGGTTTATTGGTGGGTCCCGACCCCATGGGGACGGTGTCTGCTCCCACCCCACCCCCACAGAGCCCAGCCTGCAGCTGGGGGCCACCCAAGAGCACCCATGGCCATGCTGGGGTCCCAAAGCACCCCCAGCGCAGTCCCAGCACGTCCCACACCCCTGTCCAGCTCAGAGGAGCGAGGGGCCGTGCTCCTCTGCCTGCCCTGGAACACCACGGACTGCAAGAGGGACATTGTCACCTGCTGGAAGCCCTGGCCCTTGTGGCCATTTCAGACCGTATCCCCCGAGGCACCAGGACAGCGCAGGCCCCGCAGGGAGGGGGGCAGAGCCCCCGCAGCCCCCGGGGCCCGACAGCAGCTACATGTTGAGGAAGGGGAAGGCTGATGGCTGCAGGGTGCCCTCCGTGTCCGTGTCTCTGTCCTGGGATGGCGTCCGTGGCTCGGCTGGCGGCGAGTGCGGCCGGAGCACCGCGCCAGGTCGGGCTACCAGCTCCATGCCGGCGAACAGCGACAGGCCGGGGGCCGCCGTGCCCCCTGCCAGCCTGATCCCCCCGTGCTGCTCGCAGGGACAGGCTGGCACCGCGGCCCTGGGCTGCCCGGGGGGCTCCGACGCCACCCCCGGCTCCTCGGCGGGGGCTGCGGGCGCCGGGGCCGGGCTCAGGGGGGTCAGGAAGCTCTCGCTGGCCACGGCCGGGATGTCCATGAGCAGGTCCGTGGCCGAGCCCGCCGAGGGGGCCGAGGGCGGCCGTGGGGCCTTCGGGGAGGGCTGGGCCCGGCACAGGGCCTCGAACTGCCGCAGCATCTGGGACAGGGGGTGGGCACAGTGAGAGCGGCATCGGCAAAGGGGCTTGGCCCTGGTAGCTTTGCCCAGGCACAGGGAGCGTCCCCAGGGTCCCCTCCCAGGGCTCAGAGGGAGCATCACCCCGCCCTGGGGAAGGCAGCCAAACCACCCCTCTGGCACAAACAGAGAGCCATTCCCAAGGACTGTGTGTTCCCAAGGGCTGGCAAACCTGCACCTTGTGTCCCACAAGGGACTGCGCTCAGGCATGTCCCCAGAGTCACCTTTGTCGCTCGGTTGGCCACAGGCCCAGGGCTGCCTTGGCTGAGGTGCTGCAGGCGCTGCCGGGTCACGGCAAAGATCTGCTCTGGGGAGAGCAGGTCGGAGCAGCCGAGGGCAGAGATGGCACACATGGACCTCTGTGGGAAAGGGGAGCTGAGCCTGGCAGGCCCCCAAACGCCCCCCAGCCCTCCCAGGGGAGCCCCTGTGCTCACCATGCGGACGCTGTCACTGGGATCCTCCAGAGCCCGGCCCAGCAGCTCCAGCACCACCTCACAGTTGAGGAGCCCACACCTGCACAGGGGTGGGGGTCACAGTCACCTGCAGCGCCTTCCCATCCCCAAAGTCCAGGCCCAGGCAGCCAGGGAAAGGCTCAGGTTGCCCCAGAAGCCCTCAGAGCCCCAGGAAGCATCCCTCTCTGACACTTACTCCTTGAGGAAGTGCTGAGCTTCCTCCCTGGTGAGGAAGACCCTGGCCCCACGCATCAGTCCCGACACCAGGCTCAGCTCCCTCCGGCAGTCACCCGGGCTGTCAGCGTCCACCCTGCTGGACACAGCCCATGGGGACAGGAGCCACCTGCTTACTGCTCCTGGGGTCCCTCCCTGCACAGCCCCTGGCAGACAGGGACCCCCACCCTGAGCAGCTCTGCCCACCTGCAGCCGGCAGGACAAACGCCCCGGGCGGAACCCAGCCAGCAGTGCTGGGACACTCTGGATCCATGGTGTGGCAAATGAGGGCGGCACACCCGGGACAGTCCCAGGGCAGGGGAGCCCCCGGGCCCCTCTCACCTGTCGGCGCCGTGGCTCAGCTCTCGGCTGGCCCCGGAGCTGCCAGATTTGCTGCCCGAGTCCGAGGCGCGGCTCCGCTCGTGGCCCTGCGAGGATTCCCGGGAGCTGTGCCCGCTGTCTGCCTCCTCCCAGCCTCCCCCGGCCAGCCCCGGCTGGTGGCTCACTGCAGGGACAGCGCTGCTGAGCTGGGGTCCCCACAGCCCCCAGGACGGCTGGGGACCCCCCAGACTCCCCCGGCTGCTCCGGCAGGACCCACCTCGGGACGCGCGCGGCGCGGGAGGAGTCGGGGGCGGCACGGCCGGGCTGCTGGCAGGGGACGGAGCTCGGACGGGCTCGTAGGTGTCCTCGGGGAGGTCCCCACGGAAACGCCGGGGCCCCCCCGGCGCCGGGAGCACGGCCTGGGCCACGGCCTCGGCCGCCCGCTGGAGGCTGCTCAGCAGGGCCTCTCCTGTGGACGCTGCGAGAGGCTGAGATGTTGGGAGAACCCCAAGGGATCACCCCAACACCAAGCTCCAGGCTGGGAAAGGGGGGTGAGGGAACTCTGGGAGGTCAGAGCACGAGGCACAGAGTGACCCCATGGCCCTGCCCCAGCTCCCAGCAGGAAAAAACCCGGTGAGGGTCCAGCCAGGACTCACCGGAGCTGCTCTTGTCACTGCTGAAGCCAAATCCCTGCATGGAGCCACAGGGGCTGGGGCTGGAGCCCATCCCTGGGGAGGCACAGGGAATGTCAGGAGGGGCAGAGGCACTCAGGGTTCCCCTTTCCTGCTGTGTCCCTGCCCCCCTGGCGAGGGTCTGGCCCGGGGGGGCTGTGCTCACCAGCGGGGGCCGGGGGCCGGGCGGGCAGTGCCAGGGGCTGCGGCAGCGGCGCATCCGAGAACAGAATGCTGGCCAGGTCCTGTGGGATTGAGAGACACAGAGACAGAGAGGAGTGGTGGCAGTGCTGGGAACCCCAGAGTCCCCAGAGCAAGGGGCTGGAGGCTGCCCTGTCCCTCCAGCACCCACCTGTGCGGCCGCCCGCACCTTCTGGTTCAAGCTGTTGCCGTGGAGAGGGTCTGGGGGTCCGGAGAACACTGCAGACACACAGAGGGGAGGGTGGGGGACGCTCCCAGGCGGGGTAGGACCCTGCTCCTGGCACAGCCCCGGCAGCAGGGGGTCTTCAGCCCACCATGGGGCTGTTGCTGCTCTGCCGTGTCCCCCCAGCCATTACCCGCAGCCTCCCGGATGAAGCTGGCGTTCCTCTTCAGCTGCAGGACAAACTGGGGGGAGCCCTGAGAGCAGGTGTGCAGCAAGATCTTCAGCACCTGGCTCGGGGGACAAGGACAAGTCACAGCTGCCCTCCCTGGGGCAGGGGGGCTCCATCCCATCACCCCCCAGTGCTCCCAGCACGGACCCACCTTCAACTTGACGCGGCAGGAGCTGCTCTGCAGCCGTGTGAGGAGATGCTCCAGCAGGCACTGGCTGCTCCCGGGGGACTCGTGGGAGATCTCTAGGGACGGGTTAGGGATCCAGCCGGGCCCGGAGAGCAGCAGCAGCCCCCGAGTGCCAGGAATTCGGCCCCTCCACAGGGTCCCAGCCAGGGCCCACAGTCCCACGGCTGCCCCCAACCGGCCCCGCAGGCCTCCAAAGCCCACCAGGGCCTGGAGCAGCCCCGGGGAGCTCCCCCTGTCCCGGGATCCCCTCCCTGTCCCGGGATCCCCTCCCTGTCCCGGGAATCCCCCTGCCCCGTGCCCCCGGCTCCCTGAAGGATACTGGCGATCTCCTCAAACAGGTACCCAGGGCACGGGGTGTCGTCGTCGGCCGTGCCCCGCAGCAACACCGGCAGCTGGAGGAGGAGGGGGCGCCGTGAGAGGGGCGGACCGGCCCCGGCCCCCGGTGCTGGGGACTGGACCGAGGCCCCGGGGCAGGCCCGGCCCGGCCGGGGCTGTGCGAGGCCGCTGCAGAAGCGAGTGGAGGGGGGGGTGTGTGTGTGTGTGTGTGTGTGCAGCGATGACGTCGCCGGTAAGCAGTGACGTCAGGCCCCGGCAGTCCCCCCCCCCACCCCCCAAAAGCCCCGGTCCGTACCCGGCTCAGGAAACTCAGCCGGTCCCGCAGCGGCACCGCCATGACACTGCCGGCACCGGCCCTGCCCGGTCCCTCGGCGGCGTCAGGGAACAGCCCCCCGGAAGTTGTTTTCCACCAATGAGAGCGCGAAGCTCTGCTGCTCAACCAATCACCGGAGAGAGAAGGCGGGACTCTAGGCGGAAGCGCCCCATGAAGTTGACGCCTGAAGGAGGCGGGAAGTAAACAACCGACATTTCCACCAATCAAAGCCGCCCGCGCTGAATACCCAATCAGAAGGGGCGTGGTTTGGCGTGGTCCCGCCCAATAGGAGCGCGCGGCGCGTGACGAGCGGGGTGGGCAGCCAATCGCGGCCGGCCGGGCATGGCGGCGCCCGTGCGGTGAGGCGATGTCGGGGCGCGGAGTGTGGCTGCGGGCGCGGGCGCAGCTGCGGCGCTTCCCGGCGGCGCTGGCGGCCTGCGGGGACCAGGTGGGGCCGGGGGGCACCGGGGGCGGCTCGGAGGCGGCTCGGGGCCGGCGGGTCCGGCAGCCCCGCTCCCGTCCCGTGTGATTCCCGCAGGCCGCGGCCTACGGGCGGTGCGTGGCGGCGGCGGCGGCGGGGCCGGCGGAGCTGCGGCGGGACGCGTGCCTGGCGGAGTTCCAGGCGCTGCGGGACTGCTTCGCCCGGGCGGTACGGCCCCGTCCCAGGCCCCGTGCCAGATCCGCTCCCGCTGCTGGCGGAGGGCGGCGGCCTCGGCCCGTCCTGAGCGCGGCTCTTTGCAGGCAAAGGCGACGCCGAAGTGACCCCGGGGCCCCCCTCGCCTGGAGATGCTCGTGGGAGGAAAACCCTCAAACCACCGATTTGTCCTCAAATGATGGAACCCGGTCCCGGAGCTGCCCACCCGCTGCCCGGCCCGGAGGAGGTGCAGCCCCGTGAAGGTCACAGATCTATTTTTATTTATTAAAGTAAGAATTCAGATCAGAATGCTTCAGCTTATTTTATTGATGGGCTCAGCCGCGCTCCGGGCTCTCCGTGCCAGCGTTCCACCCGCCCCGGGGGAGCCGTTCCCGGCGGGACAAGGCGGCTCCCGGCAGCTTCCAGCCCAGCTCGGGGTGCCCAGGCCATTCCCAGGAGCAGGAATGTCAGGAGCATCTTTGGTCCCTTCCGTTCACACAGAGAACAGCAAACAGGCGGCTGTGCCCCGCGGGGCCGGCAGCACAGGGCACGAAGAGCCGAGCCGGCTCCCTGCCACCTCGGCAAGGCTGCTGGGTGCCGCAGCCCGAATCCCTCTCCCCGGGGCAGCCCCGGAGCCGTGCTCCAGAGCCCATCCCTGCCTCTCGGAGCGGCTCTGGGGCTCCGTGCTTGTGCTTGACGACAGCATTAATGGAGAAGCTCGTTGGGTTCAGGGGGTTTAAGGCCACAGTGTTCCGGGCAGTCTTCCCAAAGGACTCCCGAGGTCGCTTCCCTGTCGCTCTGGGTTGTGACACCCCGGGAGCACCAGGCAGCGACAGTCCCGCCCCGTCCCAGCTCTGCAGGGTCCCACTGGACACAGACTCGAGGTCGCCAAAGACATTTGGAGGTCAGGATATAAAACCCACCACAGTGATGAGGTCTGAGGGCTCCAGGCTGGGAATTCTCAGCCGGTGTAGGGAGAACTTTGGGATTGAATTCTGTACATTCGCAGGTCTGGATGTAAAAACACAAAACCCAAAAAAAACCCAGGGGATGAATCACTGGGAGCCTGAAACAGCACAGAGCTCTTGGGGAAGGTCTTCCCTTCCTCACTCACCAAACAAATTCCCAGAGGTGGAGTGGGGACCTGTCTGGATGCAGAACAGGGCTTGGGCAGGCTGGGAAGAGCACATGGAACGCAGGAAGAGGTAGGTGGAGCCCCTGGCTCCACCTGGCTCTGCTATGCTTTCTCCCAAACTACTCACCTCTGGCAGAAGAATCAAGCTGGATTGGGAAGGGTTGGGGGGAAGTTGAGCTTCTTAACGCACTTTTGAGAGGGGAAGTGGAGCTGGAGGGCATGGAGAGGAGCACCCAGGGAGGGTAGCGGGGGCAGAGCTCCGTGTGATCCCAGTGTGTGGCCAAGCAATCCCATCCCTGGGAGAGAGGCAGCACAACAGGAGTTGTGCCCAGTTAAGGCAGCGTTTCTACTAAATGAGGTTCCTAAACCACCACTGTGTCCCAAACAAATGAGGCTCTGCTCCCAATCCAGCACTGGAGCACTGGCTCTGCTGGTCCTCAGCTCACGGCTTCTCTGGGGTAAAGCCCTTCCCGAGGTGCGGATCCCAGGTCCCCTCGGCACAGCCGGGGCCATGGAGCCCCTTCCTGGTTCTGAGAGGAGCTGGGAGATGGTTGGAGAAGGCAATCTGATGTGAATGAGATGCTGGAAAAGGTCCTTGGAGCAGCGGCCTGGCAGGGAGCCGAGGCGGATGGCAGCTCTGGAAGGCAGGGGACAGCAGGAATGTCCCTTCCAGTGTCGCCATCTCCTTGGCCACCCGCAGGCACACGCTGGGGGTGCTGCTGGAAGCCCCCAGGGTGGTGCTCAGGGATGCACGGAGATCCTGTGGACCCGAGCACTGCATCCAGCAAAGTGGCTTAGATCTCTCCACGCCCGGCGAGGCCGAGCCTTCCCCGCAGAGCATGGCCACGGCCCCGTCACGGGCTCCTGTCCTGTGTCACCTGCTGGATGTGGCGGCTGCGCACCAGGTGCTGCGCGCCCTCGGCCACCCGGCTCAGCCGTGTCTCCAGCACGCTGCGCAGGTCGTTCACCTTCACATCGGGAAGGGGGTTCAGGCCGATCAGGACCCCCCCAGCTCCTGCTACAGCTGCCTCCTCCTCCAGATCCTCCTCCCCGTCCTCCTCCTGGTCGGGGGGCAGCAGGTCCCGTCTCCTGCGGCGCAGGTCCAGGCCCCCCTGCAGCTTCAGGTCCCGGTTGGGTTTGACGTCGCGATCCGGCTGCTGCGGCTCCCTGGGGGCGGCCGCTCCGTTCTCAGCCTTCCCTGCTGGAGCATCCTGAGGGCCGGCTTTCCTGTCGGCACCGTTGGAGGGACCCCCACCCCCACGGCCCTGCCGGCCCCCCAGCTCCTCCCGAGGATCCTCCTCCTTCCTGTGCCCGAGGCCAGGCGGGTCCCGCTGCTGCCCGCCCGCTCCCTCGGCCTGCGCCCCTCTCTGCCACTCCCTCTCCCGGGGGTGCTGCTCCCTCACTGCCACATTCCTGTTACTGGAAGAGTCCGGCACCACTGCCAGATCCTTGGGCTCCACCTGACTCAGAGTTTTGGCTTTAAGGGCTGTTGCTGAGTCTCTTTCCAAACTCTTTCCTGCTACTCCCTGAACTTTGGCAGCCCCCGGCTGTTCTCTTTGGATGGGAGCTGTAGCTGCTTCCCCGGCTTTCAGGAAATTCTTCTTCTGGTGGACATCTCTTCCAGCTTTGGCTTCCTGTTCTCCTCCCAAATCCTCCGCCAAGGCCTTTTTCTCCAGGTGGTTTCTGGCTGCTGGAACACGCTGGGCATCCCCGTGGAGGGGATCCCGGTTCTCCACAGGATTCTTAACAGCTCTGTCATCCTCTTGCAGTGGCACCTTCCACTCCTTGGGAGCAGCCACAGGAATGTCACGCCTCTGCCCGGCCTCTTCCAGCTTCCCCACGATGTCCCTGTGCTGCTTGGTGGCATCGGGGGGCTGCTGGCCCGGGTGCTGTGCCAGCTGCTCCTTGCTCAGAGCCTTCCCGGCCGTGTCTCCCTTGGCTCCGAGGCCCTCGTCCTCTCTGCTCCTGGACAGGGGCACGGCAGGCTCCGGCTGTGCTTCTGCTGCAGGACAAAACCCACATGGAAAAGGCTTTCACCAGGACATTCCCTTCTCCTGCCACCACGTGTCTCGTGTGAGACACGAGATGAGGCCGCATGGGAGGAAGAGCAGAGCTGTGGGTTATCCCTACAGAAATGGCCGTGCAAGTGGACTTTGCCACGTGCCAAAGGAGCTCAGATTTCTCCCAGTTTGGTTTTAGAGCCCCTCTGAGCTGTGAGCACCCTCTGGAGGTGTCCTGCTCCCTGGCCACATCCTTACCTGGCTTTGGCTTCTCCTCTGCCCCCTCCTCCTGCCGCTGCTGGTGGATCTCCTTGTGCTGCTCCTCGATCACTGCCAGCAGCTTTGCCTGCTGGTCCAGGAGCTGCTTGTGCTGCACCTGCTGCTCCTTGATCACCTGCAGCAGCATGTTGTGGTCCAGCAGTTTTGCTGGCCCTGCTTCTGGAAAAGGGGAAAAAGACAGAGGAAATAAAACCCCTGTGACCCAAAGCCCTCAGAAATCATGTCAGCTCTGGATGGGCTGCAAGAACTCTCCTTGGCAGGAAGATCCAACTCCACAAACCTTGCCAGGAGAGAGAGAAGGAAGCTGGAAGAGGATGGGATGAGAGCAAGGGACCTGCACACAAGTCCAAGCTCAGGCTCCAACCTTCCCTTGACAGGCAGAGGTTGGAGGGAGGAGCTCAGCCTGGGGAAGGGCTTTGCAGCTCCAGCTCTGATGCCCCAGGGACAGAGCAGCCAGGGCCTTGAGGGGAAGGAGCTTTTCCCTGTGATGTGTTCAGGTGTCCCTGTGTGCCCCTGCCCACGCCCTCCTACTGTGCTGCTGGAGCAGTTTCACTCCTGTCTTCCTCTTCCCAGGGCTCTGACACCAGGGAGCAGCCAGGCCTGGCTGCCAGCATGGCTCAGGTCCCCAAGCAGCCCTGCCAGGTGTGCCAGAGATGGGACAGGCACCACCTGATGCTATGCAGGGGCCGTGGCCTCTCCCACAGTGAGGGATCTGGGAGATCCTGGCCCATCCCCGCACGCACCGGGGACACACACTCACCCCCTGCCTTCTCCTGTTTCTCCTCAGCGTTCTGGTTCTCCAGCAGTTCTGCTCTCCCCGGGAGGGGCAGCTCCTGCTTTTCACCTGCAGGACAAGAGAGCTTTGCTGTCAGTGCAGATGTTCCCTAAAACGCCTCCGCGCCGTCCCGGCACCGTTTGTATCCAACCCAACGGCTGCGAGGGAAGTAATAAACCCAATATTTAACAATCCCATGCCTGGTGGCAGCAAGCCAGCACTAACTACCTCGGCCAATTAACATGCAAGAACAGCTCTAACTGGCTTTTAGACGGGCACTTGGCAATGTGTTCCCTGTCAAGATCTCCCGGCTCCGTGTCCCCGGTGATTTGGGAGCCGTGCAGGAACAGCACGGCACCTGACATTTTGGCGGGTGGTGAACAACTGTTTGACAGCTCTTGCAGTAGCTGTCAAAGCCACCAGATTCCTCCCTTCCCACAGCAGCTGCCAGAGGGGCTGTGCTCACTCACGTGCTCCACTCGTGGAGTTAAAAGGAAGCACCAGGATGGAGATGGGAATGACCAAATTGTCCCGCCTCGAGGAGCATTACAGGCCCAGAAGAGCTTGCTCAGTTGAGCTGTTCTGAAAGGAGCTTACCAGGGTCTGCTTCCTTCTCCTCCAACTTTGCAGCCTCCTCTGCTTTCCTGGGGAGCTGGAGCTGTGACTTGTCCCGCTCAGCAGCCTCGGCAGGGTCACCATCCAGCACGGCCATCTGTGCCTTGGCTTCCAGCTTGGCTTCCCCTGGCTCCAGATCCTTGTAGGGTGGCCTTCCCCCCTGCTGCACCGCTGCCTCTGGGACCTTCTCCAGATTTGGGACGGGCCCATCAGTCCCTCCCCGCTGCTGGTTCTCGACAACCACTTCCTTCCCTTGTTTTGGGTCCAGTGCCTCCTTCTGGGGCTTCAGCCGGGCTGGCTCCTCCAGCAGACGGTCGTTGGCTCCTCCGGGAGCCGCTTTCTTCTCGCTGGATTCCTCCCGCTCCCGCCCCATGTCCACGACCACCTCATCATGTGGGACTGGGGGCTCGTGGCGATGAGCCTCCCCCACGGGCAGGGCAATCCCTGGGGGGACAGGCAGGGTCAGAGGCAGCAGGTTCCCAGTACACCCAGTACACCCAATACACCCAGCTCCATGCTGCCCTCGTCCAGCCCTGCCTTCTCTCCCTCATCTGGAGGCCACATTCCCAACAAGCCTCCAGAGCATCGAACACTAAATCACCTTCAATCCACCAATACTACCACACAGGTGGAGTGAGGGGAGAGTAAAGAGGAGTTCAGGATCTCTGTCTCAGAGCCCCACAACACACACCCCCAGCTCCCAGTCCAGCTCCTTTTCCCAGGATCACCTTTACCTTGATCAGGACGGTCCAGCTGCACTTGCTCTTCCACCTTTCCTCTCTCCTCCTCCCTCTTGGGGACCTGCACAGGCACCTTGATCTGTGGCTGCTCCATCTCCTCCTTCTCGGGCACTTTGGGTTTGTCACGGTCATCCTCGGGCTCCTCCACCACCGGGTTCTGCTCTGCAAACACAGGATGGGGACAGGGATGAGGTGTGGGATCTGGGAATTGCTGTGCCTG